AAAAAAAAAAAAAAAAAAAAAAAAAGAGCCATGTATGGTGGCATGCATCTGAAGTCTGAAGAGCCTGGTAAGTGTTCTTCTTTTCCATATGTAGTTCCAACTAAACTTTTACTTTTCATAGGACAGAGGAATAGCCCCTAGTTTCTTCTGGCCCCCCACATGTGGTTTGGTCTAGTGCTTTCAAGTAAAGAAAGACTGTATCGGGGAGGATACGTTCTGCTGCTTAGACCAGTAGACTCCAACATGGAATGGCTCAAATACGACAAAAGTGCACTTCTTGCTAGGGTATCAGTTCCAGGCCAGTGGACTGGTTAGTGAGGCTGTCCCCTCCACGTAGGCATCCAGGGACCAGACTAACAGGCTCGTCAATACATGGCTTCCAAGGTCTCTTCTAGAGGTTGCCTGCATTCCCACCTGGGGAGGGGATAATTGCTCAGAGAAGGCCAGACAGAAGATTCATATAGGCCAGGCCTAGAAGCGGTTCGCCTCTGTTCACTTTCATTCCATGAGTTGGAACTCAGGGTCGCACCTAACTGTGCAGGTGGCCATGAAATGCGGTGTAGTGTATGACCGTGTCCTCAAAGGAATCTGGTGAGGGGTAGCTAGCACCTGCCTCTGTGATCTAGGTCTTCCTGGGCCTCTGCACACTGCAGTTATGAGGAAGGAGGGACCTTGAGTAAGCAGACAAGGCAGAGAGTGAACAAAGCCAACAGGGTGTTGGGTCAATGCCAATGCCTAGTGGCTCCTAGAGCCTTTCCAGGTCAAGGAGTTTTCTGGCACCTGTCCTGAAGGGTCTGAACACTAAACCCCTGCCTTACCTGGGTAATGTGAGTCTTTGCTCCCTGTTAACCAAAAAGCAGCACTAAAACAAGACCCAGCTTGGCAGAGCCAGTCTGCCATCTTCCAGAAGTGAGTCTCCCTTTCTGTGGTGAAGGGGTATTGTTGAGATGCATCTGCCCAGCTGCAGATTGCACCTCCCACCCCAGCCCCTGCTTCTGGGAGGGTCCGTGTTCTCACCAAAGGAGTAGAAGCTGGAGTGATGGGTGTGGATTCTGGGCTGAAGCTGTTAAGAAGTGAGGGTGGCTTCCCTCCCTCTCCTGAATGACATTAGGCAGACTGAGGGAGAACAGTAATAAGTCACCTTAATAAAGCCTTACCTGATCCCCCTCTCTTGGCCCCTGGACAGAGTTGTTCATTGCACTAATGGCTTGACATGCCAGTCTGCCCAGAATAGTTTGTGGGTACCTTGGTACCCACATGTGCTAGAATAAATCCTCCCTTCTCTCTCCCAGCAAGTCAGACCTGAGATCTAGCCTGCTGCTACCATTAACTTACTGTAGGACTTCTCTCTACTTGACCTTGCCCTCTGGGTCCATCTCTAATCTGTAAAGGGAAGAACCATCACAGGTGTGTTCTGTGGTTGCCCAGAGTTGGCACTCAACAAATTGATATTAGAAATAAAGTACTCCCAGGCACTACCCTGAATTAGCCCCAGCCAACCCTCAAATGCTTTCAGCCTGCCATTGAGAGACACAGTCTCATGTGGTCACCCAAGCCGGAGTACAGTGGCATGATCATGGCTCACCGCAGCCTCCAAACTCCTAGGCTCAAGTGATCCTTCCACCTCAGCCTCCTGAGAAGCTGGGACTTCAGATGCATGCCACCATACATGGCTTTTTTTTTTTTTTTCCTGTAGAGATGGGGTCTCACTATGCTGCCCAGGCTGCTCTCAAACTCCTAGCCTCAAGCAATCCTCCTGCCTCTGCCTCCCAGAGTGCTGGGATTACAGACATGAGCTACCATGCCCCACCTGAAATCATTCATTCAGGGCCACATAGGCAGAGCCCTGAGCACACTGCACATTCCTGACTCAGGGTTGGTCTCAGCTCGTGGGGGCTGGCCTGGCCTCATTCACTTTGAACTCCCCAAACACCTGCTGCTGGGCCAAGACCACTTTCCAGGACCTGCAAGCCTCACCCAACACTGACTGGCACCATCACCAGCTACAAGGGCCAGTCGGGCAGGAGAGTATCCCGTGAGCTCAAACTCTGCTGAGAAAGCAGCACACAGAAAGGGCGTGCTTCTTTGCCCGGTGCTTGCCTATTCCTGTTTCATCTCTTGGGAAAAAAGGAAAAAATAATTTGATATATGGAAGGTTCTCCAGTAGTTTGTGTTTATTCCCAAGTCCCAACCAGGCAGGTTCGACTCCCCCAAGATCCCCGAGACCCAGGCTGTGGGCTGGAAAACGAAGGCACGGTGTCAGAGTGCCCCTGTGGCACACGGAGACCCAAGAGTGCTGACTTCAGCAACCTGCCTGCCCACAGGCTGGGCACAGCAGGGACACACACCTGTTTCCGCCCCTTCGTCTCTGGCCTTCAGAGCAGGGCCTCGCTGCGGAGGTACACCCAAGTCCTGTCAGCCTGGACTCTGACTGAGAGGAAGGCAGGAGCCAAAGACCCAGTGAAGTGACCGCTCCTGGTAGCCAGTGGTCATCGGGGGAACAGATGCACCACCAGGCCTGGGCCTGCCTTCCAGCCAGTATCTTCCTGTCAGGCCCAGAGCTTTTGTGCAGGTGTACTAGGCTCCCCACAAGGGAAAAATGCCACAGTTGAGTCTAGTGCTGGGGGACAGAGAGGTGAGGCTCAAGAAAGCACCCAAGAATGGGCTGCCAGGTTACAGACCCACAGACCTGTGGGGCTGGAAGAGAAACCCAGAACCCAGAATGCCATCAGCGGGTAGAGACGGGAGGCAGCCCGGCAGGGACAGGCCCGACAGGTGTTGGGCCCTAGAAGATGAGGCTGCCACCACCTCAACATCACTTCCTACGGCAGGAAAAGGTCACTCTCCTTTCCAGAGGGGCGACACAGCCTCAGAGCTTGCTCCGTGGGGGCTCTGCCAGAGGCCGCTGTAGCCGCCACACCACCCTGACTGGCTCAGAGGCGCGGTCCAGCTCTCGGAAGCCACCCAGGTCGCCGGTCTGACTGTAGTGCTGCAGGGCTGGCTGGAGCACCGTGATGGGGATGCTGAAGTTCAGGTGGGGGTAGGTGGCCCCCGTGTTATTGTCCCTGGTGTTGCTGGCAACGATGCCTGTTAAGGAGTCAGAGAGTGAAAGAGGAGGTGAGCCAGGGGACAGAAAGGAGTGGAAGGGAGGAGGACCCTCTCCATCCCGGAGCCCCCAGGGCCTGTTGGGGGCTTAAACCTCCCCTCATGGTGACAGACAGAGCTTCCCATCATGGACACCAGCTGCCCGCTCCCCAGCCCCCTCCCAGCTTTACCTTCTTAACACTGCCAGCATCTAACACTATAGCGCTCACTAGTTTTGTTCTCTCTCCAACTAGTGCCAGCTCCATGAGGGCAGGACTTTTGTGTTTTGTTCACACAGTCTCCCCGTACCTACAACAGTGCCTGGCACAGAGGAGGCCCTCAACAAAGACCTGCTGAATGAATGAATGAACCATACCCACAGACACATTTTATTTGGTCTGCTCAGTGCTTGGATATGTATTTGTTTATATATCATTTTGGGTTTTGGGTTTTTATTTTTTGAGTCAGGGTCTCACTCTGTCATTCAGGCAGGAGTACAATGGCGAGGTCATGGCTCACTGCAGCCTCGACTTCCTGAGGCCCAGAATCTTTCGACTTTAGCCTCTCATGTAGTTGGGACTACAGGTACATGCCACCACACCTGGCTAATCTTTTGTTTTGTAGAGACAAGGCCTCACTATGTTGCCTAGGCTGATCTCAAACTCCTGGGCTCAAGCAATCCTCCTGCCTCAGTCTCCCGAAATGCTGGGAATCAGGCATGAGCCATCACACCTGGTCTTTTTTAGATAATTAAGAATACCATAAAAGGCACACATCCTTCTCGATGCATCCTGTCAGGTGTCTGACGTCTCTGTGGAGTACTTGTGATATTAACCTTGATCACTGGCTAAGGTGGTATCTGCCAGGACTCTCCACTGTAGACTTGCTATTTTCCTCTTTGTAAGTACTAAATATTTTAGAGGAAATAGTCTAAAGTTATACATATATCCTGTTTATACTCAAACTTTGCCCACCAACTTTAGCATTCATTGGTAGATCCTGCCTCCACCAACTCCTCTGTGGTGTCCTAACAGTAGCAGTGATTTTTTATTTCCTCATTTCTTCTTCCACATCTATTAATCGGAATCCTTCTGTAAAGAAGAGCTGTTGCTTGTCTTCATTTTTAATTTATTCGGTAATTTACATCAGTGTGGACTCATGGACATTGATCTTTTTTGAGTTATAATCCCATACTTTTGCTATTTGCTTTGTAGCTGTCATTCCAATGGGAGCTCCTTGGGATGGTTCCTGGTCCTATCAAGAACTGACATGCCGGGCGTGGTGGCTCAAACCTGTAATCCCAGCACTTTGGAAGGCTGAGGTGAGAGGAGTGCCTGAGCCCAGGGGTTCGAAACCAGCCTGGGTAACTTGGCGAGAACTCGTCTCTACAATAAATCAAAAAACTAGCCGGGCAAGGTAGTGCGTGCCTGCCTATAGTTCCAGCTACTTGGAAGGCAGAGGTGGAAGGATCGTCTCAGCCCGGCAGGTTGAGGCCGCGGTGGCCATGAGCATGCCTCTGCACTCCAGCCTGGGCGACAGAGACTCCAACTCAAAAAAGAAAAAAGAAAAAAAAAAAAGAACTGACATGCCCTGTCATTTTTGTGGTCAGCGCGACCTTTCTGGCACCCAAGATACTCATGGCTCATCTTGGATATTCCCTGCCCCAGTCCTGAAATCAACCAGTTCCTGGTCTGTTTTATTAGAGAATGGTATTTAGAAACCAAGATCTGGGCTCTAGTTGTGCTACAGCAACTGGGGTGTCACTGTGTCTAGCTGCTCCCCGTGGACAGAGCTAGAAGATATAGACTGTGAATGTATGTGTGTGTGTACACTACTTGTGCACACACACACATCTATATTTATTTCTGTATCCACTTATCTGTATATACAATTTGAAAAGTCAACCAAGAAATGGGGAAAAACTGTGACAAATGACTCAAACTATTACAAATGACTAACATAACCACCCTGAAGGGGAAGAAAAAAGATGACCTAAGTAACCTTAGAAAACTATTTTGACCAGGCACTGCAAGGCTAAAGACAAAAAGAACACAAACATTAGAACACTGTACTCTAGGCCAGGCTTGGTGGCTCAGCCTGTAATCCCAGCACTTTGGGAGGCCAAGGCAAGTGGATTGCCTGAGCCTGCGGGTTCAAGACCAGCCCGGGCAACTTGGCGAGACCTCGTCTCTACAATAAAATAAAAAAACTAGCCGGGCGTGGTAGCGTGCACCTGTAGTTCCAGTTACTTGGAAGGCTGAGGCAGAAGGATCACCAAAGTCCAGTGGGTTGACACTGGGGTGGTTGTGAGCATGCCACTGCACTCTAGCCTGGGCAACCAAGTGAGACTCCGATTAAAAAAAAAAAGAACACTGCACTCTAATTTGTTGCTTACAGGGGTATGGGTTAGGAATTCTGAAACTACTTTATGTGTATGCTATGGTTGAACAAATCAATATATTGTAGACAGCAAGAGCAAGGTTTTTCACTATATGAGAAAGAAGAAATAAGTAAAGTTAGAAATAATAAAGAACTCTCTAGCCCTGTGGTGCCAGGCTGGAGTAAAAGGTGTCTATAGGGACTCACAGTTTTCTTTTTTTTTTAGGCTATACAGTTTTTTTTAAAAACCTGAATGTTACCACAATTTTTTAATGGAAAGATTTAACAACCATGTATTTAAAAAGAAAAAAGAAAAAAACAGGCAGTGGCTCATGCCTGTAATCCCAGCACTTTGGGAGGCAAAGGCAAAAGGATCGCCTGAACTCAGGGGTTCAAGACCAGCCTGGGCAACCTGGCAAGACCTTGTCTCTAAAATAAATTTTAAAAATTAGCCGGACGTGGTAGTTCCAGCTACTTGGAAGGCTGTGGTGGAAGGATGTCAAGGTTGTGGTGGCCGTGAGCGTGCCACCACACTCCAGCCTGGGCGACAGAGTGAGACTCCAACTCAAAAAAAAAAAAAGATTCACAGCTTCTTGTGAAACATTAGAAAATCAGCCAACATTAGGCCCTCATTCCTTCAAGGCCACAGTCTGCTGCAGCTGAGTCAAGTTCACCTCAGTTTACCCCGACCCCTCCCTCCACTCCCCGATATATTGTCACTCTTTCCTTTGCTTTACCTGCCCAGCCTCTGTAGGCTTTTGACTTTGTGATGCCTGGACTAATCCAACTCCTGAATTTCACAGATCAAATGAAATTAAGTGACTTACCTAAGATCACAGTGGATCAGCAGCAGAGAAAGGACCAGACAGAGCCCAGATCTCTTCCCTCCCTCCCCATCCTCAGAAGCAGAACAGCCTAAAAACCTTGGCCAACTGACTCATAGGGTCCACCATCCTCCCAGATGGAGAGTGCTCCCAAGTCTGACCACGGAGCACTCACTAGGGGGTGCTAAGGCTCCAGCATGGGGAAGGGTAGGAGAGGGCCAGGGAGCTATTACCAAGGAGGTCTCCTGAATGAGTGGAGAAGAGGGGGCCCCCACTGGAGCCGCCATGCACAGCACATGTGGTCTGCAGCATTACTGGTATGTCATCCACCTGCACCACAGCCGACAGGATGCCCGAGGTCACCGAGGGCCCAGAAGCCTGGCCGAAGACACCGAAGCCCACCACACTGACAGCCTCGCCTGCCAGGGAAGGAAGGAAGGTAAAGCTGGGGACGCTTCTGTTGTGGCAGGACTTACACTCCCAACCCCCATCCCTACCCTCTCCAAAGGTCCAAACCCTCTGCCCTTCCAGTTCCTGCTCAGTTACTCCTGCCTCCAGAGAGCCTTCCCAGGTCTCCCATGGGAAGAGGCTGGGGATGCCACTGCTTCCAGCACTGCATCTGCTCAAACACCTCTCCTGAGCGTCAGGCTGTTCTCCAGTCTTCGTTCCCTTGCTAGACTCTACAGTCCCTTTTGGGAGTTCCTAACACCTAATTAAGTGCTCAATAAATGTTTGTGGCATTAACATCCATGTCATCCTGGGACTCCTAAGAAGCCTCTTGGTGAAAAGAAATGATGCTAATGTCTATCACACAGCCACTACTTCCCTTCCCAGCTGCTTTACATGTGCAGGACAGGGCATGGGGAAAAGTGCTCTGCAGACAACATCTCATCCAGTCCTCACAACACTCAGGAGCAGGGCGCATTAGCCCTAGTTTCAAGAGGTGGAAACTGAGGCTGAGAACGGTTAAGCAGGCTGTTCAAGGACACAGGACTAATGAGTGGTAAAGGCAGGCTGCCAATCCTGAGTGCCTATACTCATTACTATAGCACACTGCCTCTGTGAAGTGGGACATGGGTTATGCGGCAGCATCAGAAGCCTTTTACCCAAATCACGTCGCCTCTCTGACCAGCCTGAAGAGCAAGAGGCCCTAAGGTGCAGCACTCCTATAATACACCGCTGCAGTGTAGGGGCATGCCTTACCCCACTGCTCCCAGCACCACAGGCATGGTGGCACAAGTAGAGAGGCCTCTGAGAATAACCTCGACCCAAGTCACCCTGACTCAGTAATTCAGTGGGAAGGGGGTGGAGGAAAGGGAGCTGGTCCAAAGGACTGGCCCCTGGCTAAAATGCCTAGCACGGATTCCCCTGTCTCCTTCAGGCTGTACCCTTTGTCCTTTACCTTCATGGAAGTGCTCAGCGGGCACAGGCATGGGGACATCATCCAAGTCCTCCGCCAGGCTCACCACCGCTATATCATAGGGAGATGTCTCTTGGGTGGTAAACACCACATGGCCCCAGATCTCCACACTCCTGAGAGCAAGGGAAACAAATGACAGGCTCGCTTTCTGACCCCTTAGCACTTGGGGAAAATCAACAACTGAGAGTGTGGAGGTAAAAGTCATGGATTTGGAATCAGAAAATCTGAGTGTCAGCTCTGAAAGCTGCCAGACAGGCAACTCTGAGCAAGTCACTTGACCATTATGTGGTTATCTCCAAACATGGCTTACAAACTGTAGAGTGCGTCTATGTAAAGTTTTCTGTACTCCACCACGATAACAAACACCTAACACTTAGTGAGCAGTTAGTGGGCCAGGCCTGGTGTTCATACTATGTGACCATCCCTTCATTCAGTCCTCACACAATCCTATGAACTAGGCATTGGTACTCTCTCCATCTCAGATGGTACAACTGAGGCCCAGAGAGCTGAGTAACATTCTCAAGGTCACACAGCAAGTGAGAGGAGCCAGGACAAACATACCAGCACTTTCCTTCACTGCCTCTTTGATAGTCCCAACAATCCCATCTGTTAGTGGAACAGATGTGATGTGATTTACCCCCTCTGGGTCCCTGTTTACATACACACTAGCACTTCTTAGCACACTATGTTCCAGGCTCTGTTCCAATACATTCCGTGCCAACCCCAGGGAGGCAGCTTAGAGAGATTAAGTGACTTGTCCAAGATCACACAGGGGTGTCCTACTACACTCTGTAGCACAAGGTTCCAACAGACTCGGTTTCCTTAGGAGCAAGATGGGGAGGAAGGGGGAGCAGCCCGGGGGCCACACCACCAGGAAATCCTCATCATCAGTCTCCTATGTAAAATCATGGCTGTCCTATAGGCTGCCAGTGGACCCACACTGGGCTAACCTCGGGGATTCAGGAAAAAGAGCTGGGAAGACCTGGGCTGCAGGCTGGGTAGAGTCAGGTACAGGAGAAATTCAAGCATTAACACGAAGGTGGGCCGGGTGCAGTGGCTGGCCAGGCGTAGTGGCTCATGCCTGTAATCTCAGCACTTTGGGAGGCAGAGATGAGAGGATTGCCTGAGTCCAGGGGTTTGAGGCCAGCCTGGGCAACTTGGCAAGACCTCGTCTCTACAATAAATCAAAAAATTAGCTGGGTGTGGTGACGCATACCTGTGGTTCTAGCTACTTGGAAGGCTGAGGTGAAAGGATCCCCTGAGTCCAGCAGGTTGTGGCTGCAGTGGCTGCGAGCATGCCACTGTATTCTAGCCTGGGCCACAGAGTGACACTCCAACTCAAAAAAAACTTAAAAAAACACCAAGGTGCTCTACTGATTTGCTTTAGCCTGAGTTAAGCACCTGGCCTAGAGAGGAAACAGAAATAACATGCACTAGAAAACCAAGCCAGGAGGCCAAGGCCAACCCATTGCCAGACCAAGTGGAAGTAAAGGAGAGTAAGGGTGCTTTTCTCAGCAGAGGGAACAAATGACTGAGCAAAGTCCCAACTTGGCCACCCACCAGCGTCACCCCAAAGAATGTTCCGAATATATCTATCTGCCTGGGCCCCGGCCCCTATATTCTAAGCAGGTGGAATCCACAACTCAAACTTTCATCCAGAGGGGAAGCTCTGACTAAGATCTAAAACTGAATAAAATTAACGAGCCCATCTCATTTTATCCCAAAAGGGCAGCATCCTGGGCTCCCCAGAGGAGAAGCAGCAGGGTTAGGGACCAGGGAACAGTGGGGTATGGGGTACAGGGCAGTCAGAGAGAGAAGTTGCTCAGAAGGAATTCACACCGTGCGGGGGAGCTCGAAGATGCCCAGTCAGGATGCAGGGGTCCCCACAGTACCTAAATCCAGAGTTGCCTGGAGCTTGTCATCTGACCCAGCTCCCTTCAGCTCCTGCCAGGAGGCCCAGGCCACCTCATAGGGGTTCTGGATGTAAAGGATGAGGGCAGGACTCCAGGTGTCCACCCACACTACTTGCCTAATGCATCAGCGTGACACCTCAAGAAAGCCCCGCGCAATCCCGAGTGGAAGGCCTGGGCCCAGACCAGAGATCCAGAGTGGGCGCCAGCCCGCGGGCCTTACTTGGGGGTGGCGGAGCGCACCAGCACCCTGGCGGCCTCCCGAGGGGCCACGTGCCGACAGGTCACCACCAGGCGGGGCGCCACGACCACGCCGGAGCCCCAAACGGTGCCGCACTCCACCAGCACGGCTGC